ATTAGAGAGCTGGACAATGACTAAGGATGACAGAAGATGGCTTTGAGTTATGGTACTGGAATAGTCTTGAACATAACATGGACCACCAAGAAAACAAATAAGTCTGTCTTGGGGAAGGGTGAAATCAGATTTCTCCTTGGAGGCTAGGATTTTGAAGCCCATTACACATACTTTGGGTATGTGGTCAGGAGGAACTGATCCTTGTAGAAGGATATCATGCTTGGAGCACAGGAGAGGAAGACCTCGGATGAGATGGATTGATATGGTAACTAGGGCAATGGAGGTAAGTGTGTCAGAGTCCGTGAGACTGGTTCAGAATAGTGCTTCAAAATTGTTGTACATAGGGTTGCTATGAGTTTCAGGTGACCTGACGGCACATAACAACAACAATAACAACAACATGTCTTAGTGTTTTTCTTTTGAGTTCTATTCTACTTGAGATTCACCCAGACTCTTGAACGGCTATTTTCTTATTTTTTTCCATTATATGTGAGGTTTCTTCCAGCATATCTTCAATGATTTCTGTGGGGGTTTTATTATTGTTGTTGTTGTGGTGGGGTTTTGATTGTTTTCTTTCCTTCTCCTATTCTAGAATTCTAATCAGATGGGACTTTTTCTTCTTGCTAATGCCCTACATATTTCCTTTGATTTTCAGTTCCTACAAAAACTAAACAAGAGAAATGCGCCAAAGAATGCTGTACGTGCTGTGTGTGTGCTGTCAAATTGATTCTGAGTCATGTTGTTGTTGTTAGGCTTCATAAAGTTGACTAAGCTCAAAGAACCCTATAAACAACCAATAGGAACCTTGCCCAAATCGTGCCGTGTTTTTCATCTCTGATAAGCTTGAGCCCACTGTTACAGTCACTAACAACCCACCTTATTGAGGATCTTCCTCTCTTTCATTAACCCTCCACCTTTCCCATCATAATGTCTTTTTTTGATGGGCTGGTCCCTCCTGACATCATGTTGAAACATGTGGGATAAAAGTTTCACCAGTTTCACCATGCTTGCCTCTAAGTAACTTGGTTGCACTTCTGGGATCCCAGAAGACTTGATTGTGCTTATGTGAAACCTATTCTTGGGCCAGGAGGCAGTTATCAGAAAAGAACAAGGAAAACACTGCATGGTTTAAAATTGGGAAGGGTATATGCTAGGGATGTGTCCTATCTCCATACCTTTTCAACTTACATGCAGAACAGATTATCTGGGAGGCTGGGCTCTATGAGAAGTGTGGCATTGGAGGGAGAAAGATTTATTAATAAACGGCATTATGCAGATGACACAATCCTGATTGTTAAAACTGAGCAAGACCTGATGCGCTTGCTGCAGAAGGTCAAGGACTGCACCCTTCAATATGGATTGAGGCTCAATGTCAAGAAAACAAAAATTCTCATCACTGGGCCAATTGGCAGCATCAGGATGGATGGTGAAGACAATGAGATTGTTAACAGCTTTAGTTTGCTTGACTCCACAGTCAACACTCTTGGCACCAGCAGCCAGGAAATTAAAAGATGCATTGCAATGGAAAAGTGTGCTGTTAGGGACCTCTTCAAAGTACTGAAGAGCAATGGTGTCACTCTGGAGACTAAGACATGCCTGATACAGTCCATGGTCTTTGCAATCATTTGCTATGCGTCAGAGAGCCGGACAATTACTAGGGAGGATAGAAGAATTGATGCCTTTGAGCTGTGGTGTTGGAGAAGAGTATTGAATATACCATGGAGTGCTAAGAAAATGAACAGGTTCATCCAAGAGAGGGTTAAACCAGGCAGCTCCTTGGAGGCAAGGATTCTGAAGCTTTGGCTGACATACTTTGGATGTGTTAGAAGGAGGGGCCAGTCCTTGGAGAAGGACATCAAGCTTGGGAAGGCAAAGTGACAGCGCAGGAGAGGAAGTGTGAGGTGGATTGATTCAGTGACTTGGGTAATCAGGGTGGGTGTGTTGGAGTAAGTGAAGTTGGCACAGGATAGAGCAGGGTTTAGGTCTGTTATATATAGGGTTGCTATGAGTCGCAGGTGACTTGATGGCATATAACAACAACAGTGAAAGTTCTAAACATGGTTTTATTTTAGCCTGTTATCTCTGGAGGCATTGATCTAGGGAAATAGGAAGGCAAAAAAGAAATCTAAAGAAACTGCCCATACAATCTAAAGAATGAGGAAAGTAAGAAAGAAAAATCAAAGATACTTGCTTACACATATCCACACATTTTAGTATGGTGGCTTATGCACACTTTCTGACACACTCCTAGCTAAGCATTATTAAAATATAAAGTTATGAGAAACAGACCTAACATTAAGGGGTTATTGTCTTAACATCTAAGGGGTATTGCCTTAACATCTGAAGTCTGTTTTTCAGAAGACAAACTTAACCGAGTCACAATTGCACAAGAAAGGGTGCCTGAGTAAGCAGTGTCTTAAGGTGGTGATTCAAAGGGGTGGGATCTAAACTAGAAGTCAGAGAGACCCACCCATGTTGTCAACATCTCATCTCCCAGACTCCTTTGCACCTAATTTCATCTTGAAATTGTGCGCCAACCCAAAAGAGGAAGGAGAATTGCAGCCATCCCATCAGAGCTGTGCAAATGTATTACCCCTCCCACTTGGTTTTCCCTGCTCTGTTTGCATAACAGCCTCCTGGTCCAGGTGTAGATTCCACATGGAATAATTTAAAAATCTGGACTCTATGAAGAGAAGTGTGGCATCAGGATTGAAAGGAGACTCATCAGTAACTTGTGTTATGCAGATGACACAACCTTGATTGCTGGAAGTGAGGACTTGAAGCACATGTTGCAGAAGGGCAAGGAATGCAGCCTTCAGTATGGATTGCATCTCAATGTCAAAAACCAAATATTCTTATCACTGGACTGATAAGCAACATCATGATGAGTTTGAAATTGTCAACAGCTTCACATTGTTTGGACTCAAAAATAACACCCTTGGTATTAGTACTCAGGAAATAAGGATTGCACAGGGAAACTTCTGCAATTACAAACCTCTCGAAATTATTGAGGATTAATGATGTCAGTTAGAGGACTAAGGCACATCTGATTCAAGCTATGGTCTTTCCGATCAGTTGCTATGCATCTGAGAGCTGGACAGTGAATAAGGATGACAGAAAAAGAATTAATGCCTTTGAGCTGTGGTGTTGGAGAAGAGCACTGAACATCCCATGGATGGTAGAGAGACCAAACAGATATGTCTTGGAGACGGTGCAGCAAGAGTGCTCTTTGGAGACAAGAATGATGATGTTTCGCCTCACATATTTTGGGCATTTTGCTAGAAGGGACTATTCCTTGGAGAGGGACATGATTCTAGGAAGGGTGGAGGGTTGGGGAAGGGAAGGAAGATTCTAAACCAGGTGGACTGACACAATGACTACTGCAATGGGCTTTCGTGTGTCAAAGTATGTGAAAATAACCCAAGATAGAATAGGGTTCAGATCTTTTGTTCATAGAGTCGCTATAAGTTGTACTTGACTCGATAGAACCTAACAAGCACCACCACAACTCTCATGGAACAGATGCTGCATTTGAACCATGAGCCTTTGGGATTGCAGCGCAGTTTCTTACCACTGGGCCACCTGAGCTCAATGGTTAATTTTTAGCCAATGGTTGTTTTATTTCCTTCTTCCTTTCCCCCTTTAAAATCCTCATTGTAACTAGCTTACATCAGTTTGCTCCCCACCCCCCAATCAGGTTTTCCTATTTGCATATAGAATAACAGCTGAGAATAAACTTTGTTTCCATTTCTCTGCGTTTTAATTAATTTTAACGCCTTGTAAAGGTGAGTTCCCAAGGTGCAACGCATAAGCTCACACGGGAAGCTTTCAAGGGCAAATACTACCAAGTGTAGGCCCCTTAGGGAGCAAAGCGGTGGGTATTTCTGGTTTTCCCCTACAATTGAATTTTTTACGTTCTCAAACCACTACTATCCTACATGACACAGGAGGAGGGAATACTGAAGTTAAGTGTTCTCTGTAGAGACGCTCAATGGACTGGATCTCCAGGGTCTCCGAGGCCTTGGTGAGGCTCCAGAGCAAAAGCAGAGAGAGGCACAGCCCGGCCATGAGGGGGGCCCCAAACTCTGCGAGAAGGCCGACTGACGGAAGCAGGTCCCTTCCAGAGACTGTCCGACTCACAGCGACTTTATGAAAACAGACCTTAATCCTGTCCCATCCTCAACATTCCCGATACATTTGAGCCCATTGCCGCAGCCGTCCATCCATGTCGTTGAAGGTCCTGCTCTCCTTTCCCTACTCCCTGCATTTGTGAGTCTCTGCGACCGTTAAGTGCTAGGATCTGACCTCCTTCATGTCGCCGGAGTTTTGCCCCGACTACCCAAGAGGCTCAATTACTTTGGACCACCCTTTTTTTTTAAAAAAAAATAATTTTAATAAGCATTTACAGAGATTTTGGATTTCCATTCATTCATTGCCGCACTTTTCTCCCTATGGACCACCCTTTTCTGAAAGAACTTTTTTCTGTACCGGTCCTCATCAGGGTCAAACAATGTTCTCTAAAGAGACACAAATATTTGGGTCTTCTGGTCTCCGAGCCCACAAGAAAACAGGATGGCAGCCGCAGGACGTTACCGTAAAGGACTTCTCAGGCCTCAGTTTAAACTATGGTCAGACCAGGCTGTGGTCGTGAGTCGGCGAGGAGGCGGTACTGCGCAGGCGCCCTCGGTTTTCGAGGCCGGCGCGCGCTAAGGGGCGTTACCATAAGAAAGGCTGTACCTTTCTGGACTCGGTTTACACTCTATGGTTAGACCCGGCTTTTGTGGGTGAGGGGAAAGCGAGGCCGCACTGCACAGGCGCTGTCGGTTTTGCAGGTCGACGCCCGTGCGGGGCCTTACCATAGAGAGGCAGCACCTCTCTGGTCTTGATTTACACTCTATGGTCAAAACCGGGATGTGGCGGTGAGGGAGAGCGAGGGCTGACTGCGCAGGCGCCACAGCTTCTTTTTTTTTTTTTTTTTTCCCCCCCCCTGTCTTTTTTTAAACCCCCGCATCGAGCGCTTCACCTCATTGGGGTGGAGGAGAAGGTGGCGGCTGTGTCGTACGCAGTGGCAACAGTAACGAATAACACGGCTGTAAGTGTCCGATTAGGGCGAGGAGATTTAGGACGGAGGTCCTCCGAAGTCCCCGCTCCCATCCCCGCAGTCCTGGGGCCCGGTGTGGGCGGGGGGAGGAGGGGAAACGTCCGGGGCTGTCATGGACTCTTGGGTGCCACTTTGGGGGAGGGGGTGGGAGCTAGGGCGGGAGCTGGGTGGAAGATGGTGTATCCCGCCGGTCGAGCTCGGATCCCAGGCTGCTTTGCAGGGCGGCGGGTGTGGGGTCACGTCGGCTTTGTGTGGCCTCATCCCTCTCGCAGACCCCACCCCAGCAGTCTCCCAGCTCGAGTCTCTTTGGTGGAGGGTAGAGCCCGGTGAGGCCTGGTGGAGTGTGTTGGGGGGGGGCGCAGCTAGTGTGGGGCGAGCGCGGGGTGTGCGGCCGTGTCTCCGGGCCGGGCGGACAAAAGGTGGCGGACGACCGGGCGGGCAGGCCGGGCGGGCGGGCTCGAGGCCGTGGGCTAGTTGGCGGCGCGGCCTCTCCAACTTGCCTTTGTTGTTCTTGGTGTTGGCGGAGGCGCTCTGCGAGCTCGCACTCTGGCCTTGCCGAGTACAATGGAGCTCATCGAATTTGCCTTTCCATTTCCTGAGCTATTGAGACGACTATGGGCTTCCAGAGTCTCATTTATTACATAATGTGTTTAAAATAGTTATGTTTTATTTTGTCTAGCATTAAAAAAAAATCTAGGTGGAGCCTTAGAGCACCTCGTGTTGCCATCTGCATTTAAGATCCTCTTATGGGGCTCATTTATTAGATCCTGACCATTGATTGGTGCAGCCTATGAAATTTTGATTTTTTTTTTAAATTAGATTTTAGTGTGTTTTCAACTCCCTATTTAACAAGTACCACATAACATTGTTCAGTGACATTGGCTCCACTTTTTGCAGTGTGTCATCATACTTAATTTCGTTCTGGGTATTCTGTTTCCATCAATATGATTTTCTCTTTGGTTTCAGATAGAGCTTTTTAAACTTGAATTTGTAAATATGACAGAGCTTTTGATTACCCTGTCCTTAGGGAGGACGTGGTGTTTGGAATAAGTAGGAGATATGTGTCTTATGCTCCATTGGGATTCTACAAAAAGAGCATTTCTGGCTTTCATAATTATTTTTATTACTATTATGACTTACGACTTTGAATAAGCTTTTGATAATATGTCAAGCGGACTTGATGAAGGATCCTGTATGCTCATCAAGTTCAGTAGATAAATTGATACATACATGGATAGAAAAGGAACACAACCTAAATGTTTGTTTTCTTAATTTCTTAAAAAAAAAGAATTTGCCAGGCCGTTTGCTTACTAGTTTTTGTAAAATTGTAATTGTATTCTTTCTGGCAGTTGCTTCTCAACTTTGTATAATTCAATTCGTTGTTTATTATTGGTTACCATGTAGTGCTGTATTTTAGATTTTGAAGGTTTTATTTTTCACTGAGTGTTGAAATAAAGCTTTTAATCTTGCCTAAGATTAGCCATTGTGAGAATGCCTCTGAAGAGACTTTGGAGTTGGTGGAGGTGTTGAGTATTTATGTTAGAACTGAGTTGCAGATACAGAAAGGAATTAAGTTGGTACTGTAAATTTGTGTTACAGTTGCAAATCCAGCTCTCTTCATGACATGTTTCCAATTTACTCACATACTCAATTTCATTGATGTACAGTAAAAATAGGTAAATGTCTTATTGTACTGATAATAAGCTGATATCTGAAGCTTGGTGTATTATGCTTCAGCAACTATTATGATGGAATGTGTTTAGTTCCTATGATGGGACCTTGCTTTTTATAGAGCCCTATTTCAAATCCTTAAAATAGTTTGCTCAGGGATGTTAAGAAATGATTGGTCAGAAGAACATTAAGCTTCTTGTTCAAACATACTTCATTCAATAGTACTTAGATTTTTTTTTTTCTTTTAAAGGTTAATTCTACTTTTTTATGTAGGTCAGTCTCTTGATTTTCTAAGTTGAATGGAATAGTTTTTAATGCCCGAGACAAAGCAATTGTTTAAGATCCATTTGTTAGTAGTAAAATTTTACTTAAAATTGTACTGTCTGATAGTAAGGGAGCTTTGGTGGCCTACCACAAGCCTGAAGGCATGTGGTTTGAATCCACCTACCTGCTCCCCAGGAGAAGGATGGGCAGTCTTCTCCCATGTGATTAACTGCCTCTGAAAACCTCCTGGAGGATCAGGTATGGGTTGGTTCCGACTTCACGGAACATAGCAATAATAATATGTTACACATTAAAATTTCATATTAGTATGGACAGATATTAGAATTAAGATGTCATAAATATTGTACTTGGAGTTCTTTAGGTTATGAAAATAATCAGAATTTTAAATGAAGTAGTGGAATTATTGGTTACATTTGGTAGAAAGTACCAAAAATTCTTTAAAAACAACTATGTAAAAGATACCTTAGGAAAGAAATAGCTATTAGTCTTTAAAAATGCTGGTTTAAGCAGAGAAAATAATTGCACAGCTTTTTTTTTAATTGTGATTTGAGTGAAAGTTTACAAAGCAAATTGGTTTTCCATTTAACTATTCATACGTAGTTTATTTTATGAAGTTAATTGCAGTACCCACAATATAATAACATGTTTTTTCCTTTTGATTCTCATTTCCATTAAGTTCTCCTTCTCCTTGTCTTGTGAGCTTTGCACCTGGGCAAATACTGGCTTTTGATGTTTTGTGGTTGATGATTCTGAGGTGTGAGTACCTTCCTAGTGTCAGAGCTCACCTTACAGGCCTTTCTGTTGCCTGGCTGAAAGTGGGGTCATTGGGGCAAGTTTTGTTCCAGGTTATAAGGGTGATGAAGAGCTGTAGTCTTGAGGATTCCTCCAGTCTCTGTCAGACCAGTCATCTTGGCCTCTTAAAAATGTCTTTTTGAGTTTTGTTCTGCATGTTTTGTCAACTCTGTCTAGGACATTCTCCTATGCCCCCGTTAGGATTGGTCATCATTGGTACCAGGCTCAATCTGGTTGTTCTATTCTCAGGGTTGGAAAGGTGGACGTTTGTGTGATCATGAGGCCTTTGGATTAGTTGTTTCTTTGCTTTTCTTTCACCAACTTTGTTTCAGATACAAAGCGACTAGTAGTAGTACTTTAAATTGTCCTTAGAAGCTTTTGAGATTGGGGTCATTATTTACGCATTGCAATAGAATGCAAAATAATATTGACTATGTGGGCTGTATTATTTATGCCAATTGACTCTGTTGTTCTCCCAGCCTATAGTCCTGGGACCCAGGGACCAGCAAGTTTTTCTGAGTATTTGGTTATATTTGAAATGTTCATATAACTGCCCAATACTGGCTCTGCTATGTACATGGAGATTATACAGTGTTTGGTTTCTAAAATATAATTTGTAAATATGAACTCACCTTGAAAGGCTGCCGCACCTTTTGCTTTTGTAGGACTGCTACTCGTCCGAGGATGATGGTGCCATCACTGTGGAAGGGGTTAGTGGGCATTGGCCTCTTTGCCCTAGCCCATGCAGCCTTTTCTGCTGCGCAGCATCGTTCTTACATGAGATTAACAGAGAAGGAAGATGAATCACTGCCAATGGATATAGTTCTTCAAACACTGCTGGCCTTTGCAGTTACCTGTTACGGTATAGTTCATATTGCAGGGGAATTTAAAGACATGGATGCCACATCAGAACTGAAAAATAAGACATTTGATACAATAAGGAATCATCCATCATTTTATGTATTTAATCATCGTGGTCGAGTACTGTTTTGGCCTTCGGATACAGCAATTTCTTCAAAACATGAAGATGCCTTGTCTGCTAACACATCACTGAAGTTAAGAAAACGTGAATCACTGCATCATTAAGATTTTTATGAGTTCTAAAAACAGGATGTGACACTGAGTTGGAATACTGGAGTTTGGGGTATAAAACACCTCCATATTCATCTTTCAGCCCTAATAAAAACAGTCTCTGACCTTTGTTTGTACACTGTCCATCAAATACATTATGACTTAATTTGTGAAATAAGTCTGACTTTTTTCGTAGAGGAATTTTCTTCATTTAAAGCATTCACATCTTTTGTAAAAGTCACTGTTGTGAACAGTTTTCTTTGGAAAATACTAATGGGTTTTATAACACTTAAGATTTCTTTTGTGTTATAGTTCGTAGGATCCTTTTGGAAAGACTGATGTAACTACTGCATTTTGCAGCAAGATTTAATAGGAAAAAGGTCTTCCTTCCAACAACAAATGGACTTCATTAAGGAGACCCTTTTTTTTTTAAATGTTTCCTACTATGTGGCTCTTCAACTGAGACTAGCCAGTTGGTTTTTTTTTTGCCAGTTTTTACTACATTTGTGACCTCTCACTCTGCCCTACTCCCATACACCTTCCAACTTGAGAGGCCTTGTTTTATCACTTTTCTGAGATTCTGTGTGTGAAAGTGATCAAAGTTTTAAGTCAGAAATTCTTAAGTTTTACAGATACATTTAACAAACTCAGCTTATTTTAAGCTAGGTTGTATTCCCATTGTTTATCTGTAAAAATTTGTCCTAGTTGATTAGTATAAGAATAGTTGAGGAGAAATAAAAAAGACATCAGTGACTTTATTTGGAACTTATATCTTTATGGAAAAAAAAATAGGTCATAATATGAGGGGGGGAAGTGAACACCTATTTCTTTCCCAGTGTCAGCGGAGTCATCCTTGGTTCTTGGCTAAACTAATATCTCAAGGGCTTCTTAGTACCAGAATTTACTAAATTTAGATTATTTCTAGCTGCTGCTCTACTACCCCAGAGTTGCCCCCTTTCTCAGATCATTACTCAGATCTTACTAGCACACAATCATTTTCATGCCCACATTCTTCTAGAGATCCTGTTCTCCTCTTTCCTCGTGGGTCCCTCAAAATCTATCTCAAATGCACTTACTTAGACAACATTCTTCTGTAATACCTTTTTTTTTTTACTTTTACCCCATTTTCCGACTTAAGTAACCGTTTATTGTTGGACTGTTCTATCACTTTA